GCATTTGATCTTTCTCTTCACCATTCTGAGGGTCAAGCCATTTACAAAATGGTGAGGGGAGCTTCCCTTTAGGCTGTTGTGAGGCTTGAGAAAGCTTTCCAAGTGCAGCCTCCCAAACAGGGTACATCCCACGGTGGGGGCTCTGTGTCTGGGGCACCAGCCATCACGAACAGTGTCAACGATAGCCAAAGTTCATGTGAAAGGTAAATACGTAAGAATTGTTGGAAATATCTGAGCAGAAGGAAATGAGGTGGAGAGAACAGACTTATAACATCCAGATCTCTACACAGGGCCGCAAAGGGGCGTTTCAGTCCGTGGAGGAGAGCCGCCCTTCAGGGAACTGCGAGCACCTGGCTGGGCCGCTGGAAGAAGGTAAGGTTGTATCTCTATCAAAATTTAGTACAGAAAAAGCAAATATTTTAATTAAAAAGTAAGAACATATGGAAAAAGGCCTCTCTAAGCAAGGCAAAAGTCAAAAGCTATAAAAGGAAAAATCTGATCACTTTTTAAAAACCACCCCCTGGGGAGAAAGTTCCATACTCAGAAACAAAACAGGAAAAACATTATTACCTATGATAAAGGACTAATAATATAAAAATTTAAAAGCTATAATACCCAATTTAGAATTATAGAGCATCACATATAACAGGTGTCCATTAGATTAGTGTACAATAGGGAGCTTTATACTATATTTATATATGCAAAAGTGTCCCCTCCCTCCTGAGCATCTCGTTATTTGGGCTGCTCTGCCTCTATGTGCATTGAAGGACAGGCCCATTATCAATAAATAGCTTTCCCACAGTAAGCAAGAAGGTGAAAACCAAGTAAAAACTGTCTTTGAAAAGCCCTTCAAATGAAACAAAAGTGCAAACATTGCTGGTGGCTGAGTGTAACATCCATCGAGGTCTGTTTCAGCAAACCTCTATCAAAATTTTAAATAACACAAGCCCCGCAGTCCCACTTGTAGGACTTGCTTTATTTATTTATTTCATATATGGGAAAGGTTCTACATGAACAGTTTCGTTACAGTGTGAGTTCTAGGAAGAAGTGGAAAAGAATCAATGTCTGTAAAAGAGAACTTACTAGATAAATTTTGGTTACACCCTGCTGTGTGATACTTGGCAGCTGTGGAAAGAGTGAGAAAATGCTCTGTGTAATCTGGTGACAGGCCCTCTAAGATACCTGGATAAACAAGGTGTGGGTCAGTGTGAGGGTATGTTACCCTTTGTTGAAGTGTGTATGTGTGCTGGGGGTATAATCCTGTTTGGCTGGATATGTTTAAAGAAATTCTGGAAGGACATCCAAGAAATTAATGACTCTGGTTTTCTATTGGATAAAGAGGATACAGAGGTGAGGAGGTGATTTATCACTATACACCTTTTAATAGCCTTTTTAAAGGCTATTTAATGTATTATCTGGACAACAAATTATTATGCTAGTAACAGTGGCTGTGTCTGGGGAGGGAACTATGGACCTGGGGTGGGGTAGCAGGCCTGAAGAGAGGAAGCCCACGAAACAGTGTTGGTGAGGAGGAAGGGTTGTTAGGGAAAGAAGAGTTCTGAAGATGAGCCATGAAGACGAAGGGGAGCATGAAGGATTGAGGGGGAGCTAAGCAGAAGGTAGATAATTTTTTTAGTTCACATTTATTTTTAAAAGTTTAAAAATGATGTGTTTTATAGTATACTTTGGGAAATCCAAGCGATTTTTCATTTCTGTGTTCCCTCCCAGTCTTTTTATATGCATAAATGTCCACTTTTGTTCCTGCTTTTGTACTTCACATGTATTTTGTGTACATTTTCCATGTATATTACAAATAATATGTGATCTTGCTACCAATCATATTGTTTCTAATTAGAGTTCCAGGTGATAAAACAGCAATTTATTAAGTAGTCATTCCACCTTTTGTTGGCCTCATAGGTTTCTTTACGCTTTTCACTGTTGAATATACCTAGCATTTCCTCTTCAAAAGGAGAAAACATATCCTTAATATAAACCCACAGACATGGAACTTATGTCACCTTTTCTTAAGGATAATGGGAGTTGCTAAGGAAAACTTTAGTGGACGTGTTTGTTACAAAACTTGCGAGAATGGAGAATGGGGTCTGGACACAGATGATTAAAGCAACATGTAAACAAACCCTAACTTAACCAAGGAGGTGAAAGACCTGTGCACCACAACCTACAAATACTGCTAAAAAAAAGGAAAAGTCACCAAAGAAATGAAAAGATGTCTGGTGTTCAGTGATTAGAAAATTTAATATTGTTATCAATACTACCCAAAACAGTTTGTCGATTCAATGCAATCCCTGTCACAACATTAATGATGTTGTTTTTGCAGAAATAAATAAAGCTATCCTAATACTCAAATGGAATCTGAAGAAACTCTGAATAGCCAAAACAATCTTGAAAAAGTAAGCAGAGTTGGAGGGTTTACACTTTGTGATTTCAAAACTTATTATAAAGTTACAGTAATCAAAAAGTGTGTTACTGACATAAAGACAGATTCCATATATATCAATGGATGGAACAGACTAGAGAACCCCAAAAAGAAACCTTTGCATATATGGTCAAATGATCTTTGACAAGGTTGCCAAGACCATTCAATGGGAAAGGACAGTCTCTTCAGCAGCCAGTGATGGGAAAACTGTATCTCCACATGCAAAAGGATGAAGTTGGACCCTTCCCAAGCCCCATATACAAAAACTAACTCAAAATGGACCAAAGACCCAAACATAAGACCTAAAACTGTAAAACTCCTTGACGAAAACATAGAAGAAAAACTTTATGACATTGGACTTGGTAACAATGTCTGGAATATGACACCAAAGCACAGGCAACAAAATGACAAATAGATAAATGGGATGATATCAAACTCATAAACTTCTGTGCATCTGAAGACACTCACAGTGGAAAGGCAACTTGCAGAGTCAGAGGAAATATCTGCAAACCCTACATCTGAGAAGGAGTTAATATTCCAGAATACATAAAGAACTCTGACAGCTCAGTGACACAGCAAGCACAAAACCAGATCACAAATGTGCAAAGGATTTGAGCAGGTTTTTCCCCAAAGACACACATATGCATGTGAAGAGATACTCAACATCACTGATCGTTAGAGAAATGCAAATCACACCACAATGAAATATCATGTTGTATCCATTAGGAAGGCTACTATTATTTAAAACAAGATGTGTTGGTGAGGTTGTGGAGAAATTGGAATACTTGTGCACTTTTACTAGAAATGTAAAAGGATGCAACCACTGTGGAAAACTGTATAGTGGTTCCTCAAAAAATTAAAAACAGAATTACCATATGATCCATCAGTCCTACCTCTGGGTATATACTTAAAAGGATTCAAAAGAGGGTCTTGAAGAGATATACACCCATGTTCATAGCAGCATTATTCACACTCATACCAACTGTCCATCAACAGATGGATGGATATACAAAATATGGTATATCCATACAATGGAATATTATCCAGCCTCAAAAAGGAATAAAATCCTGTCACAGGCTACAACATGAATGAGCCTTGAAGACACTATGCAAAGTGAAATAAGCCAGTGGAAAGACAAATTTGTCTATGGAACAACAAATACTATACAATTCCACTTATATACAATATCTAAAATAGTCAAATTCATGCACACATTAAGTATAGTGGTGGCTTCAGGAGCTGGGGGAGTGGGAATGGGGCATGGCTGATGAATGGGTGTAGAGTTCCAGTTTTGCAAGATGAAGAAGTTCTGCAGATTTGTTGCACAACAACGACATATACTTAACACTCACTGAACTATACACTTAAAATGTAAATTCAGTAAAATATGGTAAATTTTATGTTAGCTATTTTTCCCACAATTTTAAAAAATGAAAACAAAACTCGACATAAAAGCTCAATCTCCAAAATCAGGTGAACTATAGACAAAGGTGAGATTCTTGGTAGATGAAACCAAGACTCACTTAATGAGCTGATATCCTTGTTTACTGTACCTGTCAGGAGGGGCTGAAGAATGGCTCCCGAACACTGCTGTAGAGCAGTGATGAAATGGCATCTCAACTGAGATGCGCCACAGGCAGTTCGGAGTCCTGGGAAAGAACGCTTACCTGTGAGCCCCCTGACCCTTCTGAGTGAGGGGATAGCACATGGAGGTGACCTGGAGGAATAAAGCCCCACTGTCCACAGGAAATGCATCCCCAGGCTCCCTGGATGGAGCCACACAGGAGCTTCTTAGCAGGCAAAGACAGAGCAGTCTTGGTGCAGAGCAGTCTTGACCAAGCCCTCTTTAACAACCCACAGGTGATGTGCCAGGACTAGGTGAGGAATTTGGCATTGAATTGCTGAAGTCTCTGGGCTTCTTGGGCGAGGAGAAGCAGAACTGTGGGGCCCAGCTGGGCTCTGAGGGGGCACCGGACCTTTTGCAGACCCTGCCTCCCTGGAATTCTTTTTCCACAAAACTGACCCTCTTCCCTTCCTTGGTAACCTGCGGCCACTGTGACTACAGTATGCCAGGTGTCTGGAATGTAAGTGCAGAGTGTGGTCCTGTTTGGACTCAGAATGTCTCCAGGGAAGATTTCAAACTCCTGGCTAACTCCCATCCTGGTACCACCTGACCTCCTGTAAACAGAAGACCCTGCAGACCTGTGGGCCAGCGCATGATCCTGGCCCCATTTTCCCTAAGCAAGCCCAGAAGTAAAGGAGAAGACAAGGGGTAGAGCCCAGCACCGTGCTGTGCAAACAGCAGTGGGCAACGAGGCTGTTCTGGAGACAGCACTGAGCCTGACAACCGTGCCGGGGTATGTTGACTGAACTTAAACCCTGCTGGAACCAGACTTTGACGTTAAGTCGGGACATGCTTATTTCTGCAGCCATTCCCCCTTCTGAGACATTAAATGGGGGCCCGGGGTGCGTTAAGGGGCACGGGGTTCGCCTTTCGCAACAACCCCTGCTCGTTCTCTCTGGCTCCCAGCTGGCCGGGCAGCGGGAGCATCCCTCCCGGGCTGCAGACCCAGAGCCCGAGCGCGCCGCGCACACGCGCCGGTCCCTACCTGCGCGGCCGAGCCTGCCACGCCGCTGGCTCACCTGCCCCGCCTTGAGCCTGCCGGCCCTCACCCACCCGGCCCCTTGCCCGCCCTTTGCCCTGCTGCCTGCCCTGCCGGCTCCGAGGGCGTGCCTGGGCCGCCGCCCATCCGTGCAAGGCTCCCTCCTATCGCCCTGGAGCTGCCGCCGAGGGCCAGGAGGGCGAGGAGCAGCACCTGGAAGATGCGCCCCGGGGCTGCCGGTGAGTGCGAACCCCCGCCACGGGGGAAGGGGGAGAAGTCCGGGCGGGGCCCTCGCCTCTCCTGGAACCCGCCGCGCTGCCGAGAGGGGCTGGCGCTGGGGCCGGTCTGGTCTTAGACCTGGGATCTGGAGCGCTGGAGGCGAACCTGGCAGGGTTTCCCAAGCAGGTAGCCCTACACCGTTTCCGCCTCCTGCTGCCGGTCCCCTCCGCCCAGCTGGGGTGCATGGCAGTGCGCGGCGGGGGTTGGGTGGGGTGCAGTGAGTGTAACGTTTTGCTTGGAAGCAGGTATTGGGTGGGCGCAGGAAGCTTCAAGAGGAGGGGTCCTTCCACAGGGGAGTATGTGTCTGCAGGGATGTCCCCTCACCTGCGGGCCAGGAAGGGGCTGCCAGCTGCACTGTGGACCCCATCCGGGCTCCTGTGGCTGGACTCAGGAGTCGTTAGCCACAAGCCAAGCTGACCAACCCAGGAATTTACAAAAAGTGGGGAGACAGTGGGCCTTTCTAAGTCAGTGTGGAATGTGGGTGGGTGAGAAGAGGCTAATAAACACGGGATGTCCCTTTGCCACTGACTGCAACACTACCCGCAACATCTTGTTATAAAGCTGTTTTTATTTTTTT